CTACCTCCTGAGTGCTGGGATTAAAAGTGTGCACCACGGGGCTGGAGAGATGGCTCAGAGGTTAAGAGCAACCGGCTGCTCTTCCAGAGGTTCCGAGTTCAATTCCCAGCAACCACATGGTGGCTCACAACCATCCGTTATGAGATCTGATGCCCTCTTCTGGTGTGCAGATATACATGGAAGCAGAATGATGTATACATAATAAATAAATAAGATCTTAAAAAAATTAACTCGTTAAACAATGAAGACTCATTGCTTTAAAAAAAAGTGTGCACCACCTCAGTCCAGTTTATTTTTCTATAATAAGTAATGGAATATATTAATGTTATTCCTTGACAGTTTTCTTCCTGGGTTGATTTTTGTTATTGGCGGGCTATGCCTTGCCCTGAATTACATTTTTATAGTGTTGGAAAGAAATGAAAAAAAAAGGATAAAAGAAACAGTATGAACTTTTATAAAAAGCCATTCTGGCCTTCAGTGGAGGAGATGTGACCTGAGCCACTTCTCCAAATGACCCAAGCAAGTCACTGAAACAAAGCATCTCTTTGTTTCTCATGTTCCAGTAGGCACAGAGTAGCTAATATGTTTTCATCTGGAGCGAGGAGCACGTAGATGTTTGAGTACAAGGCTTTTCTTGTCCCATCACCCAGAGCCTGGCCATGTGACAGGCTGTGATGATATGCAAGCCATATGACATGGCTCACAATGCACAAGCCTCTCCAGAGATGCTATGAAGTGGGATCTTCAGGTTTTGGAAAATTAAGGAAAAAAAGTGATTTCCCTGTACTCGCCTGAAGGCTGTTCTATTATAATGTCAGGAAATGGATTCCTAGAATTTAAACAAGTACCACTTATCCCCTTCATATAAACAGAAGAATGCAACTCTATGCAAATACCTCACAGTACACTAGAATTAAATTAGTGAGTAAAGATGATAGCCAAGAAGGGAATCTGTTCAGACGCTACACTCAAATAGTGTCTAAATTCAAACCAGAATCTCAAGCACTGGCCCTTTGGTTGTTATTATAAAGGCACAGCACTCTGTGGGGGTGCCCTCAGCAAAGTGTAATCTAAAACCTTCTTGCATAAAACTTGTGTATCCTGGATCCTAGCCCTGCACTCCTTCCATTATGTTGTAAATGGCTTTTATTGGCTGAACAAATGTTAATGCCATTATATGTTAATGGACGATGCTATGAAAGGCACCAAGGTATTTCATACCATTTGAACCTCCAAGGGTGAAATGTAGGACAACTTGCAGAAATGCCTACCATGCCAGCCATGAGGGCCTCAAGCGCTTATGGCCCATCTCCATAGAACTCAGCTGATAATTTCGCCCTTGGATAAGAGAATTCTGTAATTAGGCACAGATTTATTAGGTCCCAGGATTAAAATTCTCTGAGTAAGAATAAAAAGTGACTTACTTTAGAATGCATTGTAATAGTCAAATGATTTGAAAACATCACCTCAGCAAAAAACAAAGGAAGGGAGAAGAAGCAGAAGTTAAAGACACAGTTGGCAATGGGAGCCATAAACCGGTGTGACTTTAACAGGTGGGCACACGGTCTAGCACTTTCACCTTGCCCTCACAAGGACATGGGAATCTCTGTTACAGCAGAGTGCCTCAACTTCCTTCCTTCAAACTGCTGAGAACCGACCCATCACTCTAAGCATTTACCTGCCGTATGTTACACTCGCTTCTCTCTGGTTACAGGTGGGACTTCCTTTCCTGGGCCTTTATGCTCTTGCTTCCTTGGTTTCTAGCCTTTCTCCTGGAGAATGTGGCTCTCCGGTGCTATTACCAATTAGTCCAGCCGTCTGCTGTGAGCTACACTCACCTATATGCTCATCTCAGTTCTTCAGATGCTCCAAGTGCCCTTCAACTCAGCATGTCTATAAATGGATTCCTGTTTCCCCTCTCTCCCCTAAGACAGAAGTAATCCTAAGTGCCCCCACTGCTCACATTTGAGAGTGCACCTCCACACATCTCTCCTCTGTACTCTCTCAATGGCTTCCACCCTTTCTTGCTACTTCTCCTTACCTCTTCACTCCATCTTCCATGGCTGTCAGAACTGGGAATGGAAATTGCCAATCTGACCATATTACCCTCCCCACCAACCTCACGGCTCCCTTCCACAGGACTTGAACATGCCTGGGAGGCCAGCACTATCTTTTTCCTCCTATCTCTACCCACCAACTTTCTAGTCATTTTTGTCTACCTTGCCCTCATTGGGCTCTCACAGGTTGAACTCTGCCATTTCCTAAGCTTGGGACCCTTATCATTCCCCAGTCAACATTCTATTTATCTTTTAACTACCAGGGAGATCAGCCTTAACCACAAGAAAGGTCATATAGCATATGGTAAGGTCACATAAATCCCTGAGAATCTGTCACAGCTGGTGTTATGTATTTCCTAACTAGATCTCTAAAATACTAGTGTCTGCCTCTACTGGGAGGTAGACATTTCTACAAGGGCAAGGGGGCCAGACTATTTAGCCCACCAGTTTCCCAGTTGCCTACCTATACAGGATGGACATGAGAACTCCAAGTGTTATCATTCTCAGGCATTTTTTAAGGTCCTTTGCTTCCTTCACAAGAGAACACCACCCCTTAAACAGCATGGCTTCAAACAAGTACTCCTGATGGCCCTGGAGTTGAAACCACATCAGGTTTCCCCACATTAGTCACAGAGCAGGAAAATTATGAAGAAAATTGGGCTCTACAAAGGCTATCCATTGAAACCAGACATCAAAAGGACAACCAACCACAGCCATGACTCACAGCAAATGCATAACCATGGGTTTAGTGGTTTTCCTTTGGAGGGTTCTTTCATTCATTCACTCACTTGCTCATTGACTTTAAATTGGGGCCATAGTCTGGGGGTGGGGTGGGGTGGGGTGCTGCTGTGTGACAGATACATAATTAGTATGCTAGGCTGTTAGTGAAAGGAACCCTGTGCTTCTGTCTGGGGAAGATGGTACATTTAGGGAGAGAGGGAATGATGACTACGGAGAATGGAGAATCACCAACTGAGTGAGGCAATGGATAGCAAGAGAAAAACCCTAGGTACCACTGGGGACACAGAGCATCCTCTGGTAACTCCTCCATTACCAACTACTACCAACACTGCCTGAAGAGTGTGGGAGTTGGTGGAAAAGACCCATCCATGACACATTCCATGACCACTACTCTAGTACTGGACTTCTTAAGGGCTCTAAGAGGAGAAGAACTCAAATGGTTCACTATCTTCTCACACAGTCCCCACATCCAGGGCCAGCTAGCACAACTGTGGGACCTTCAGTCTCATGTGTGGGCAGGAATCCACCTACTTCATGCTTCCAGTCTTTTTCTTTGTGCCACAGAGGACCGGAGGAGGGCTGTGGAGAGGCAGCACCAAGTGGGAGGTTGTGAGTCAGTGTTGTAAGAAGGTTAGGAGTAAGGTGGACTGGGGTGGGGGGGGGGAGGACGTGGGGAATTGTGTGTGTGTGTGGGGGGGGAGAGGGTAGAGGCCTCTTCAGAAAAAGTAAAAGCTTTAAACTTGACTGAAGGAATTTGCTTTACTTAAATGGATTTCGGCTTCTTAAAGTATAAATTTTTGATGTATAAATTATTTAAGGCTTATTTAAATTTCAAGCCCTGTCTACCAATGAGAACAAAAAGGACAGGGCTGAGCATGATGGCACACACCTGTAATCCTAGCAATTAGATAGCAGAGGCAGAATTGTGGGTTCCAGACCAGCCTAGGAGACTCTGTCAGGAGAGCAAGGAGAAGGGATGACAAACGACAAATTTCTTCAGGACGGACAAAAGATGATAGATATTTTGAAATTGCAAAATAGAAGTTTATCAGCATCATATATCATGTACTATCTGTAATTCAAACTGAAACAAAATAGATAATAAAGATTTTTAAAAATAAAATATGTATTCAGTATAATTAAAGATCAGAAATGAAGCCTCATGATTTGAAAAGTTTTCTTCAGAAGGAAAAAAAATCATTACAGATTAAAAAAAAAACAACTAACTTTAGTTATTCTGACCAACTTGTGAGTTTAGAAAGATTTATTTGTGAAATAACACTTTTCTGGAAGGAAAATATCCATCTTCTAAATCAAATTGTGAAGGTAAAAAATTGTAAGTCAAGTAATTATATAATAATACTGTACTGTGTTGGTAATTCATAAAAAAACATGCAACATGTCCAAAAGGTAGAAACATGTTAATGTTCTCCTCTTTACAGGAAATGACCACACCATCTAGTGTAATTTATTTTGGTGTTTTGTCCAGTGTAGTATCAATTTTCTAAGAACTGTAAATTTTTAGGTTATTTCCCCTGAAAAAAATATGAGTGAAGAAAAAACTATGGGTTAATGATGACTTCTCAAATATAAGTTAGAACACTCAGAAAAACATGAGTACAGTGCAAAAGCGATACTTGTCCATCTCTGTGTGAAACTGGCTTATAGAGAGAAGGCAGTGGGAAGGATGGCAAGCACAGTACAAAAGAAATTCATAATCTACAACACAACACAGAAATACATTTTAGACTTCAGCACTATTTCTATGTCAGGAGCTTCTGATTCTAATTAAGTTTAGAAGAAAAGAATCACAAGGCAGCCCCTGCCTGACTCAGGACATAGCATTAAAGGAGCAGGACATAGCATTAAAGGATGCTCAGGTGATAAATGGGTGCATACAGATGTGAGCCCTGATGTATTTTTCACTTAACATCTGTTTCCTGGTCATCTATCTGAATGCTTTAATAGTGTCACCTCAGTGTGCCTCAAAGCACCAGGACTGGGCAACCTCCTAGAATGCTGAAGGGAAGGGCTGCTCCATTAGCTGTCACTTTGGTGACTTCAATGATCCTCCTCAGAACAGGTGAACACCAAACAACAAACTATGATAGATCTCTTGGATAATGTGACCACAGGAATTCCTTCTTTTGGGAAATCTGTGCACAGCCAATACATTGGTAAGATTTTAAAGAGTATCCTTACCCGGATTATTTCTTCTACACAGCTGTTGCTTTCTCCAGATCTACTCTCCTAAAAGCAAAGGAAAAATAAATTAGCATCGTAGAACGTTATTTTAATATGTGTTACATTTGTTTACATTGTGGAAATTTGTTTAATGATGCAAAGATATGCTGCATTCTTTCATGTTGCATTTGTTTGACTCTGTGAAGCTATGTTACTTTGCCTGTCTAAAATACCGGATTGGTCTAATAAAGAGCTGAACAGCCAATAGCCAGGCAGGAGAGAGGACAGGCAGGGCTGGCAGGCAGAGAAAATAAATAGAAGAAATCTGGGAAAAGAAGATCAAAGAAGGAGAAAGAGAAGGAGAGGAGGACTCCAGGAGCCAGCCACCCAGCTACACAGCAAGTCACAGAGTAAGAAGTAAAGAAAGGTGTATAGAAATAAAGAAACGTGAAAGCCCAGAGGCAAAAGGTAGGTGGGATAATTTAAGAAAAGCTGGCAAGACAAAAGCCAAGCTAAGGCTGAGCATTCATAAGAAAGAATAAGCCTCCTTGTGATATATTTGGGAGCTGAGTGGTGGGCTCCTCAAAAGAGAAAAGAGTAAGAGTAAAGAGTAAACAACCACCAAACAATTAGGCTTGACCAAATGAAACAATGGTCACAAAAAGAGGATGACAAGCAGATTTCCAAATTAGTTGGCAGTTAGGGTGGAATAAAGCAATCTTGGCCTAAGGCAATGTTTAAGGCAGGGAGTGCTGACTGAGGGATTTGCCCTGATGGCCACCTCTCTTTGGTCAGTTCTTATGTGGCTGTTTCCCCTTCCCTGGCATGCTGGCCCACATACATATGCATGCCCATGGACTCCGCCCAGAGCTCTCCCTCTATGTTAATTTAAGTGAGGAAGCTCTTAGAAACACAGAAAAAGTTCTACAACTCCGAGAGCCATCTACCCTGGGATTCATTCAAGTGTTGAAACCATTGACTTTACCACAAAGTAGAACCAGTCGACCCATGAAATATACGCCACGGACCAGATGGGTTCGGTGGTTACTACCGCTTAAATAGAAGTCCAAAAAAAGCCCAGCCACAATCCTCTGGGCATTGCCAAGTATGCTGGTATCAGATATCACCAGAGTCACTTGTTCTGCTGTCACCCATGCTCCCTGCACTGTCGGCAGCTCTGAGGTGTGGCGGCCTCAGGTCACAGCTGATTGGAGGAAATGTTAAGCTCCACAGACACTGTTTAGTTACTGCTGGTTACACAGCAAAGAGCAGTGGTTTTATGGGAACATAAAAGCAATGAGCATCTACTGTTGGGTGTGCAGCCTGTGGTCCCAGGAAAGTCATTCTGCAGGCCCTGTAATTTAAGGGTGCCAACCACAGCACAGTGTGACATACTAGAATGGGATATTTTTGTGCTCTGTTAATCAAACCCACTGCCCTTTCTTCACAACTCTCTCTCCTCCAGGAATGCCATCTGTGCCTTTTGTAGTTTTTTAAGCTAATTCCAAAGCATCCGTTGGGTCATAGCTCACCCACAGTTTCCTCAAAGTGGCTATACTTGACCCTGGCATTCTCAGTAGCATGCCCTTCCTCATCTTAGCCTCCCCACAACTGCAATTCAATACCCAGAGCTCTCCCCCCATTTAGAACACACACCATGTGCAGAGTCTCTGTCATTCTGGACTGTGTTCCACACTGTATGTATTGTATACAATATGCATGTCAGCTGATAGCAAGCAAAGTAATGAATGCATTTCTTTTCTGTAGTCCTTGTGTTTAAGCTTGTCTTTTTTGAAACAGGGTCTTACTACACAGCCTAGGCTACTTTGAAATCTACCATCCCCCTGCCTCAACCTCCCAAGTTCTAGGATTATATCATTACCACTCCAGGGTACTTCCTGATATCCTGAGGTTGATCAGAATCTACCCTAGATGTTCAAAGGATGACAGAAGATCCCAGAGATGTATGCCACCTTACCCCTTGGGTCTTCTGTGCAACAATTTTCCTTGGAACTCAAGGGGTACCTCAAGAAAGGTACTATAATGGTTTGGATCTTCAGGGCTCCAGTTGCACTAGAGTAGATGAATGGGGCACAATATTGAAGGAAGTCTAATTCAAAAGGCACTGAGGCAAAACCAATGACTTTGACAGGAAAATTGTGCTCCAAATAAAGGGCTCTATCCAAAATTACTAAGGCAGCAAGTGGCAGGCAATGCAGGAGCCACGCATATTTTCAGCAGTCCTCTAGTGACTTTTCTATTTCAGGCAAGCTCCCTACACTCAATCCTTGGGGCTGTCTCTAGTTGATTTGAGGTCCATGTTTGAAGTGGGGAAATGGAAAGATTTTGATAACATTTTGATGAATTTCTTCATCTTTTTGATGTTATACTTAGTCATGCATGGTCTCTCAGTCAACTAACCTCCACATGATACAGAAAGAAAAGAGAAGGGAAATAGGAGAGGAAAGAGAGCGTCAAAAATAATTATCCCTCCTAACTAATAAAACAAACAGGAAGTGTATATGTCCTCAGAAATGGGAGCATAGAATTCCACCTGGTGTTTTTCAAATGCACCGAAGGGAAGGGGTAGGTCAATGAGTAGGAGAGGGAAAGGGGCCAGGGAAGCTTTCTGCCTTTGGGAATCTTCCTCAAGTCTGATTTCTACTATAGTTGTGTGCTTTGATTATATTTACAATTTTAAAACTTTGTGTTTATGAGTGAGGCTAAAACGTGCATGCAATTTACATCTTCAAAATTGTGTTTATATTTTTCACAATAAAATCACTGCTTCCCTTGGAAAGGGACCCACTGAGAAGGAGGCTGCACAATGTAAATTTTAATTACTCGGTATTTTTTTTTTTTTTGAGGTTTTGTGGCTGTTGTCTCATGCTGAGTCGCTGAGCTGTTGCTCCGTATTTACTGTGACTTTGATGAACCCCCTTCATTTTTCTATCATTACATTTTGAAATCTGTCAAAACAGTCTCACCTCATTGAAACTCCAACTAAACTTCAATTAAAAGCCAGTATCCCTGGCTGATTCTCCTCCACAGCCTTGGTTGTTAGATGCTTTCCCCACTACCACTCACACCCACTGCACAGCCTGCCAGGGAAATGTGAGGACTGAAGTTCTGGGAAAGGAGATCTCAAGAAGCAGCCAGGAGCATCATGTCGCTGACAGCCGAAATCCCTAATTACCATGCCGAGCACAGCACACTGGAAGAAGCAAGGCTTAAGGAGAAAAGGCTCCATCAAATCATGGTGAAATGGCATTTCATGGCAGAGGCGATGAACTGCACACAGGACACATTTTGAAAACAGTTTAACTCTTCATCAGTCACATTTCAAGGAAACTTTCATTCATAAACGATGCTAACAACACAACGACTCTGTTATCAAAGCCTCAAAAGACCCTTGAGCATTTAGAAATTGTTTACCCCCCCATACACCCAAATATACAGGGCTATTTTTTAAACAAATCTTACTGTCTTTTATTTACAGAAAACCTGAGGCAAAGAAATTAGGTATTCTATCAATGCTATGAAAACAGTTCCCGAAGATCTAAGCTAACACGAGGAACTGCCATAACTCTGTGGGAAGTCCCATCTCTAAGATTAAGCCCCGGACTTGCCCTAGCTCTTAAGGGTGACTTGTGAGCAATGAGGCAGATGGCCCACGGTCTCTAAATTCTGCTTCTCTTAACCTATCCTGACATGCCAACATAAAAGGGCTGCACTCTGCCTCCCCTCATCTGAAGCTGGAGGCTCCGTTCTTCTCTGCCCTTCAGACTCTCCACCTTACCTGCTCTGGCATTCCCACCCAGCTCAGACTCTGGAATGCTAGTGCCACCACCAGCATTGAGGCACCCAGACACTCAGAGAGAGACAAGCAAAAGTGAAATAAAAGAGACCGGAGAAAAAGGGCACTCATAGGCGGTGAATTACCAATACCAACTGGAGGGCAGATTACAGAGTTGGGGGTACACTGCAGAATGAGGAAGAGACAGGGCAAAGCAGACATTTTAGTAAAGCAGACATTTTAGTAAGGATGGAAGGACGCAGGCCTGTCACTGTTAGAGATCCTTAACCCACCTGTTTTCCCTAACAAACTAAGGGCACTACCAACCAAAATAAAAATAAACAAACTATTGTGAAAGGAAATAGAACATTTGAACAAAAAATTATATAAGGTTATGATGATAGATAAAATGAACTTAGAACACACTGTTAATAAAAACACATGAGGTTTGAAACTTTTTGAAGAAAAAACTGATTTATGAGATAGGTAGGACTTACAGCCCAGAGGCAACAAGTAACATAAAAAAAATCACCTTCCAGTCAGATAATTGAAGTGTTTTGAAGGCTTTTCTCTTTATAAAATTTCTACTATAAGTAGAAATTTATAGAAAACAGTAACAGGTTATTTTTTTTATTAAATTAGAAAAAAAGGGAATTCTCAATCAACAACCCATGTGAAAATAAGTATAAAATCCTTAATTCCTTATTAATACATATCACCCAGTAAAACATCAGAGTTAATGGTATGTACCCCAGGAATACAGCAGGGAGTTAATATTTAATTTTAGCGACCTTTGAAAGTACTATATCCAGTTGTTAAGAAAAATAAAATTATGAAGTTTGAAGGTAAATGGATAAGAGCTAGAAACAATTATCCTGTTGAGTCACTGGCCAAATGGGTCCCTTAAACTCCTCCCCCAAAACTCAAAAGCTATTGCCAAGGCTATAGGTTATCCTTCACAATCTGACAGTAAGACTCTGTTGCTGAAGACACCCATTACTATGCCATTGGACTTGGAGAAATCAAGCTGATACACAACTAGAAGCTTCTACTGACTAGCACTCATGGTCCTAGAGGGCACTTGCATACCACCAGAAGAAAGTAATCATTAATATCATTCAGCTACAAACTTGGCCCTACAGCGACTGGCCTACAAGATATACAAGCCCAATAGTGGTACAAATGTTATAGGGGTAACCAACCTCAAGGGTACTTACTATATGATACCTGTTGAATGACAAAATAAGTCAAAAGTTGTGGGTTTGGAGGA